CAGCTAGTCTCAACTTTTAATTTTCAAGTTTAAGTTAAAACATTTAGCTAATTTAAACTCCAAAAAGTACAAAATAAAACTTTCATTTATTTAAACTATTAAGAGATAACTAGAAGGCCTTATGTAACAAGAAATTCATAAACTCATTTCAACAAACATGTAATGGGCATATACCAAAACTAAAAGTTATAGTTTAACCTATAAGATCAAATACAATAGTTATACTAAAAGTTCAATAATTAACATCAAAACCCTATATCAATGAAACAAAGTATTCAAGAATTCAACATCATAAAATCAGAGAACACAAATAAGTATAATAATTAAAAATAATAATCAAACCTAATGATTAATTCGTAACTAGAACTGAATTTCAGAAAAAGTAAAACCTATTGAAGCTCTATATTGCATTGACAGAAAAGAAGAAGAATCTTCATCTTTAAAAAAAGGAATCTGAGATATAGAAACAAAACCTAAAATTACCTTAAAGTGAGGCATCAAGGCAGTGGATTCCGGCCTCTGGAAGAACTTCACGTTTTGATTTTCTGGTAGAGGAGAGTTATCAGGAATCAAAGACGATGCAAGAGAAAGATGAATTTGAGAGGAGAGGAGCATAGAAGAAGGAAAGAAACGGGGGAAAAAGAAGAAAGGGAAGAAGGGTGTACGAGAACGTCGAGAAGGGAGAAGGGGCGGATTAGAGGAGAGGGAAGAGAGGGTAAAAACAAAGAGTAATTTTTTTCCTATTTATAGTGTGTACTAATGTGTACTAAAGTGTGTACACAAAGCTTTTTTGGTATTGTTAAATTTTTTGCATGAAATATAAAGCAAAGAAAGTAGAAAAAATTCAATTCGTGCATCCATAGGACTATAGGAGTTAACGCAATATCAGAAATAGATGAATGGATAAAAAGTGACCGGTAAACAACGACGTGCATTTGGAATATTGCCCGTTTGAAAGAACCGTTAAGTTTGACGGGAAAAGGACCATACTAACTAAGTTTGCTTTTATTATTTATATTTATACGGAGATATATATAGGGGTTAGATCACATACAAATTAGTTCTTTCATACTAAACTACAAATTGTCATAAACTGTGCATCTTTACATTATTTGTATTGCATATTGATGTTCAAAGTGTTGCATATTATTTGCATTACATATTGAAGTTCAAAATGTTGCATATCATTTGTATCGCATATTAAAGTTCAAGTGTGCATCTTTACATTATTTGTATTGCATATTGAAGTTCAAAGTGTTACATATTATTGAGTTTGTAGGTTAGTATTTTAAGCATGATTTGTATTTGATCTCTTGCCTATATATATATATATAACAAAGTGCAATAATATATTATACTTCATCAAATTATACATTGGCACTCCTTTACAAAACAAAATGCATTTTTATCGTTGCATTTTAAATATATATACAAAAGTGCACTAATAAGTATTACATTTTCTAAAATTTCACCTTGTCATTTTTTAACATGCAGGTGAACTAATTATTAGTGTCAACCTACAAATCAACAAATTGTGCAACAACATGTAAAAGTGTAAGAACAAAAAATTCTCAATGCACAATTAGTAGTATGTATAACGGCCGGGCCGTACTTCATCCATTAATATATATTAATCTAAAGAGAAATACGGAGTAACATGTTAATTAAGATAATTTGAACAATTTCAAAGTGCAGTTTTATAACGTAGTATTTGATAACGAAGATGTCAATGCAAAATATTTATGTCTATTTTTATTGATTCTATTACTTTTGTAAAAATTTCATATTCATTTTATGACTAAATGGATTACTTTTTATTGATTCATTGTTACTTTTGATTTAATTTTGTCTTAATTTGCTATGTATTTATTTCTAATTAATTTTGAATATCGAAATTACATTTTGACAATTAATGTCATTTTTATGTCATTCACTATACCCCAGATGGTAATATTTCTCCTGTCTCGTTTTATGATTTATTCTTGTGTTTACATTTTGATTTTAAATCTTCATTACTTTTATCTAAAAGTGTCATACTATCACAACATTAGTGAAAGTCAGACTTAATTAAAAATTGCTTTTTTATTTCAATTATATATTAGGCTCACAAATTTTGATTGTGTGAATATTTCTACCATGCAAAAATGATCAAGAAACTTCTTTGATGAGATAACTGGGATGAGTGTTCATTCATTAAATGTTTACAATCCTCCTGATCCCTAAATTTATCATGTTTCTCTTGCCTAGCATATTTAAAATTGAATATTAGCTGCAATCTGTTCTGTTCTACAAAGTGACTACAATAACACATGAATGGATTCATGAGGCAACACTTGTGCAATATGGTTCATAGATATTTGCGACACTTTGAATTGATTTTTGAGCATATTACATTTAAAGTTGATAGTCAGTTTGAATTTTGGAGTTCTATTTCCTGTGTTGAACATGTATAATTCAACATTTTTTTTAGTAATTTGTTTCAAAAGTTATCATCATTTGCTTTTTAAAACTGATTTAAATTAAATGCATTTTGACAATTTCAATTTAGAAATACATTATTTTTAGTCCCTGAATGAATTCAATGCAACGGCATTACATATCACCAAAGTAAAAACTAAAAATGATACTGTAACAATAACAAAGAAGAATCAACACATGGCATCCTATGAAACAGAGACAGTGCAGCCTCAATGGCTCCACACTGTCCATAGAATGTAACTAGTGCATTTCCAGCAGAGAGGCTTGAATCAAATCCGCACTGAATATTCTGAGCATGGACCTGGCGCCCTGTTTCTAATGCAGCAATAACTGCACAAGATGTAATGGCTCCTGCAAAAGCATAGTCGCATGGGTCAAACGGATTCAGTTTCATTAGGTTAAATAGCTACAAACCTTCTTCCCAAGCCCATTTTGTGAACATCCAGATATCATCACTGTCCATGTTAAGGAATTCTTCTTCTCTGGCTTCTCGGAAAAAACAGCTTAGCTTCGTAAACTAGCCCTGTACTCACATAGGTGGACAAAATTGTGTTCCATGAGATCAGGCCTTTTGTGATCATCAGATCAAATATTTTTCTGGCACCATAAACTCTACTGCATTTCAAATATAATGTAATCAAAGATTTGTTTAGGAAATAATCTTTAGCTTCTGTTTCCATCCTTATGATGTAAGCATGAACCTGCTTCCCATGAAGAAATAATCTAGCATCAGCACATGCACTGAGAACATTAGAATATGTAAATTCACCCTGTTCAGTTTCTAGCAAACATTTGTCTATAAAGTTCTAATGCTTCAGAGACAAAACCCTTATGAACATACCCAGAAATCATTGCATTCCATGCCATGTATATCTTCTCAACAATCCCATCAAACACTTCACATGCAGCATCAACATTATCATTCCTTATAAGACCCACAATGATGGTAGTCCAAGACAATTTATCCCTCTTGGGAAGCTCATCAAATAGGTCTAGGGCATAATCTCCTTTATCTGACAGCCTTCTAGTTTCATCTACACCATGTATATATATATCGAAAGACTTGTCCATCATTTTCTTCATGCTCAGTCTGATTCAACCCACTGTCATTAGTATGGAATGGGTTTGTAGGTTGCGGCAGCATACTCATGAAAGAACCAAAATGAGGCTGTTGTGAGTTGTGACAGAACATTTATACAACCAAATTGTTGTTGATGTTGTTGAAGAAAATTCATGACTGGTTCTTGCTGAATGTATGGGACAGAAACAAATTTGCGATGGTTGGAGGATACTCATCGTACGTTGCATTTGGTCAATGGTATTTGAAGCAGTTTCTTTAAACTGCATAAGCTCTTTGTTTGCTTCCAAAAGAGTTGTTGGATTTTTCAAGTTCACTCACCCGTTGCTTCCATAATTTATTTTCATATGATGTTTGTGAATAATCTTGAGAAGTGGAGGCAGCTTGAAAGTAGTACATATTAGCTGTTTTTGAACCAAACCTAGAGGCTGCGGCCTTTCTTACCGCCCTTCCTTCCTTACCCCGCCTGTGGCCTTTAAAAAAGTAGTACATTTTTTAACCAAACCCAGAAACTTTACCACCCTTCCTTACCCCGCTTGCGGCCTTTAACATCATCTCTTGAGGCTTTGTATTCGGTTCTTTTCATTTCATCTCCTGGTAGGAATCCTGCAAATGACCAGACATGTATGTTGAGAGTACATGAAACACTTAAACTTCTAAATTTGACAAAGGTAATAATCTAAGAATCAACAAAACGAAACACAAATGTATTTGGGAACCCCATTGTTTTTTATTTATTGTTGTTTATCAGAACTATAATGCCCGGAAGTAGTGTATACCAGAGAGTACACCAAACAAGAATCCACAAATACCAGTGAGCCGAATTATAAGAAAAATCGGACAAGCTTAAGCATTGGCCATAGGGCTAAGTTATACTCCCTCCATCCCCTTATATTGTCTTGTTTTACCTTTTTGGAAAATCCCACTAATATTGTCTTATACCATATTTTGGAAAGTTTGTGTGACTCTAAATCATTCTTACTTTATTCTTACTTTATCAATTAATATCAACCATACAAACCCAATTTTCTTAATAATCGTGTCACCCTCCTCTGTACCAATATAAAAGGGACGGAGGTAGTATTTATTTTTCAGTAACATAAATTAATGGTTAACATTCAAACTCCGAAGCAGTTTATAATATTAAATAAGATGACTATTACAAGATAATATATGTTAAAAACACTTACCAATAGGACTGTGCACCGGGCAAAATCCATAACGGGGCCGGACTTGACCGAAACCGGAACCGGTATTGGCTAAATATGAAAACCAACAACCGGACAGGTATACGTTTGGTTCTAGCTTGGAACTGAACCGGAAATACCGGTTGACAATCGGAACTGGTCCGGCTAAACCGGTTTCTGTTTTTTCGAGCAAACTTATACCCTATAAATCATAATGGATACTCCCAATAATATCTTAAAATCCCAAAAAAATTGGAGTAAGGTTTACAAGTTACAACACATCTAAAAATTTTAAAAATGCTTGCAAAACATAAATCACATGTCTAAATATCTACAAAATGCCACATAAAGTATTAGGTTTACAACAAGATGAGTATCGAATATTAAAGTTTTCAAGCAACAAAAACTTCAACCAACATAAACCACAACAACATGATTATGGAATATTAAAGCTTGCAACTTCAAGACTTCAAGTAACATAAACCAACTCTTCAGTAATACAACTTGTCTCCTCCACACCTACAAAAATTAAAAACGAATTAAAACGAAATTAACATGAGCATTACTATTAAAACGTAGAAAGAAAAATAATCATTTTATTGTGATTCTGTGAGTTATGGAATAAATTCAATAGCATTTTATGTGTAGCATACTAGCATATCCAAAATTCCAAACTATATGTTTTATCATACTTAAAATATAAGAACCAATTGAACTTCATCATATCATAAAATTACAAATTTAAAGAAATTTACCTTTTTCCACCACATGCAATTCCATTAAATTTTCTTCCACATCTATCCTTGTTTTTCTCCAATCAGCTCTAAACCAATCTTGACCGTAAATAAGCGCTTGCACCATCTTTTTACAAAACAAGAAAAAATCGAGAATAAAAAAAAACTTTAAAAAAATGTTGATGTTAATTCACTGAACAATAACATTAAATTACCTTGAGAGTCAACGAGCTCCTGAATTGATCTGAAGTACACCCTAATGCACTAAATGCATACTCTGATACCACAATTCATATCGGGATTACTAATATATCACGAGCCATACACGCTACTACCGAAAATCTAAGACTGTTTAGTTTCCACCAAGTCAAACCATCCTTCTCTTCCTCATCCCCTCTTTCTTCATCAAGGTAACGATCAAACTCGCTTCTTGAAAAATGTTGTGACCCACTCCTTTGTTTAACCCGATCTGTCACAAGATTCATCAAAGTAGAAGAATCAACGGTTGAAGAAGTTGCTCTTGAGTTACTAGTTACCCCATTCTCATCAATCACAACTGGAAGAGCAAACACTCTTCTATACTCCTCGGACAAATCATAAGCGCATTTAATCTTTTGAAATAAAGGTTGTGCATCCTTTTCACCATAAATATCAACAAGAGCAATCTTCACTCCAATCAACTTAGAATTCGGATCAAGAACGGTATCCATGTACATCAATTTGTTCATCTTTTCAATATCACCCCAATATTTGTCATATTTTGATTTCATTTTAGTTGCCATATTTTTTATAGCAAGCTAACTACTAACAACACATTTTTCCAAAAAATCAAGTGCATGACATATGTGGAAGAAAAGAGTGTTACTTATGACATACAACCAGCCCGACACATATCTTACAAAAGATAACGAGATATTTAAGCGTCTCCCAATCCTCATCACTAAGGGGATGCAAACGTCCCATATCTTCCAACTCCCTAGGAAGATCAAATCTCACAAAAACATCCTTGTATTTCAAAACTGTATCCAACATATTATATGTGCAAGTAGCTGAGCAGAAGCGGCGTAGATTGGAGTTGTCAGGAGAGGCATACATGATGATGGATGTTGAGAAAAATGGTGGAAAAAACAGGGTGGGGCGAGTTCTGGATAACGAGAGAATGCTCAAGCTCTCCAGTTTATTTTTTCAGTTTTCAGCTTTATTTTCAGATTAGTAATTTCGTTTTCGGTTTTGTTGGTTTTGGACTTGTTAGTCAAAACTCTGGGTGGTTTTTCAATTTTCATTTGGACTTTCAGCTGGGACATCCGATTTGTGGATGTTCTATGGGGCAAACTTTCTTTTTTGGTCGCAATAGGCTACAAGTTGCTCGCTGAGAGGTTAGCGAATTGTTGTGTTTGTAACACATACAGTTCTATGTCTAATCCTAGGGCAGGTGACCGAAATGAGAGTGTTTGTCTTCATGCTACTTTGTGAGTTTCCAATATTTTAATATAAGCCATCTTTGTTGAAAAAAGGATACAGGGCTTTTACCTTTTTTAATCTAAATGTCGATTAGCTTTTGATCAAAGTTTATGAAATTGAAGTAATAAATAAATAAATAAAAAACATGATCCTATCAAACGTGAATAATATATTGCTATACACAATTTCCTACTTAAATCGATCAGTCCATTATCTATTCTTCAAGTTTCTCTAAAAAAAAACTTAGTATAATACGGAGCAATAGATATTACTACTAGATAGTACTGTTATAATCCTTCCTTTTCTAGTAGTGGACTGTGGACGACGCCCTTCTGAAAGTATAAATGAACTTCAACAAATCCGAAGTACTACGTATTAAATTAATTTGAAATGAAAGCGTCCAAGAAAAAAGAAATCTAACCAAAACGCCCAAATACTTGCATTATTACAAAGGAGCTGGATATAGACAACAAAAATTGAATAAATATTTAAAAAAGAATACCTTTTAAATTGTTATTATACAGAGAAATCGTGGTGCAAAGCATTCGGCCGGTTGCACTCTAGCTTAACCATAAACTTGAAACTGAGCCATAACCAATACAGATGGAGGGACAAGGCAGTGGCGAAACCCATGGAAATGGAAGAGGCGTTTGGGAAGAAGTGAGTCATGTAGGCGGAGTAGGTAAAACACCTATCCGGAAACCTTCTAGGGCATACTCCACTTATCACACCCTAAAACATAATACATTTCTCTAAATACGAGTTAACTCCTAAAATTCCCAAAATAGGAATACACATTATTTTTTTACCCCTAATACCCCTATTGTAATTAATTATTGCCCCCCTAGTTCCCTTGGGCAACAAGGGCAGTCCGTCGGTGGCGGGGCAGGGCGTTTGTAACGGCAGCAGTCCGGTGGTGGCGGTGGCAGACGGCGGCGGCCGGCGGTGGAGCTCCGGCGACCGGCGGAAACCTTTATTCTAATTAATTACTGCCCCCCCCTAGTTCACTTGGGCTGTGACACCGCACCCGAACGTCCTTGAAAATTCGATTTAAAAAAAAATTCAAAAGTGATGTATTGAATTTCCGATTTCAAAGCAATGGAAGAAACGATTAATATTTTACGAAGTACATGATTGAATATTGTATTGTTCAAACCCGCATTCTTTTGTAATTTTCATCATGTAAATTATTGGGATGAGCCTACGCATATTGGAGATCAATAATGTGATTTAGGAAGTTGACTTGCTCTAAATAAATTGGAATGAGTACAAAAAAAAAAGACATCTTTTGACAAAGATAAAACAATAGGACCCATCTTCCCATTTTTGGAAGTATTGGTAGATATTTTGGACCCCAAATTAAATGGGATCATTTGGGAACCATCCCACATGACCTTGGTACCTGCAAAGACAAAGAAAAATGGATGAGACAACTATGTGGGGCGGACTTTTGACTCATGAGCTACAACATTACAAAAAGGAAATAAAAGAGGAGGTCCATACCATGTTTGATTGCAATCAAATACCCCACCTTTCTTTTTGTGAACCACATGCTCTCTTAGCATGATTGAGGCCTTCCTAATACATTTCCCCTACACCCCATTCGAACTCCCAAGATAAGAGAGAAAGAGGGAGCCACATATTCCAAGGGAAAAGAGAAGAGAGAAGCTGGCCGCAGGATTCGTTTTCCAGCAGATAGGGTCTCTTGTTTGATCCATAACTTGAGCTTCACTCGTCCAAATAAGGCGTATGATATACCAAAAGAAAGCTCTCAAGACGAGGAATCTGTGAAGGCCTGGTTTGCAGGAATCGGAGTTGTGGAAGGCTTCCAAATCGTCCGAGAAAAACGCAACCTCGCAGGAGAGGATTTAATCTTCTAAAGTGAGTTTTAACCCCAAAGCTTTACTTTTCATTCTCCAAATGATATGAACGATTGGTGAGACTATTATACTCTAATCCAAGTGTATAATATGTCCTTATAAAGTTATTTTATTGATGTAAAGGTTAGATACTAACCTAGATGCAAATATTGGAAAACTAGGAATCGAGTTAGCCGGAAAACACCCGTTCTAGGGGCTGTTTTCGTATCAACGATTAAGGGTTGAACTAGCACTTTGAGGAGGCTGTTTAACACTCATATTTGAGCAAGGAATCAGTCCCAAATCCACCTTGACCAAAGATTTGACCATTGGACCAAGAAGGGAAAGTTTAAAGCTCAATTGAGGTGAGGATTGACATCTAATTGCTTACAACTTGTAGGTTAAGCATGAGATTACCTAAATGCTTAAATCATGATTTTTCATGGATTATGATGATTATATATTGATGAAATATTGATATAGTTGCCAAAGAATGAAATTTGAAATGATTTGAGAAGGTATGAATAATATGAGATTAAATGAGTATAAAAGAACCATTTTGTGAAAATGGGTATTTTACTCATGTATGAATTATGTGGATACATAAATGAATATTTGTGTATTGAGATTAAATACTTAAGTTGCTGCTACATAATTATAAATATGTAGAGAATTACAAATAATGAGGATAATGGTATGATAACAATAATCTTAATAGTATTGAAATACTAGTTAGTGATTATTGGGACTTGTTGATTAAATTGATCCTAGGGATTGGATTGTATGAAAGGTACTTGAATATAGTTCAAGTGTATATAATACTTAGTATGGAACTAAGGTTGAGTTATGGGAAGTCTTTAAGGATGACCCATGGTAGTTTAATGATATGTTAATTCTAGGCATAGGGTTGCTTGAGAATTGGACCTTAATGCATGGTGATGTGATAGAGCCGAGCTCTAGAATGCATGTAAGGTGTAGACTTGGAGTCTATGTATTGTATAGCTAGAGCCGAGCTCTAGGACTTGCGTGGTGATGTGATAGAGCCGAGCTCTAGAACGCAAGGTAGGGAAATTGACCCGAGGTATATGAATTGTATGGTGATGTGGTAGAGCCGAGCTCTAGAATACAATGTCATGTACTAGGGTTGGACTCTAGGAGTTGTCGTGGCTTATAGTCACGGGGTTGGGAATGGTGATTTCCAAATGAAAACGGGCCCACGGGCCGACTACTTGACTTTTATATAAAGTAAGTATATTTTTAAACGGGGTAACTTAGGGTTACAATCATAATGTACTATCACCCTACTCGAGGGTCTTGTGTTTGAAATACTTGTTGTATATCTATTAGATGCCTGCCACACCAGCACTTTATAGCCGTATAGAGTGCTGACCCCTTCGGGGGCGTCCCACCACCATTTTTCAGGTTGAGGCTAGAGCTTGCTTCCTGTGCTCGTTGCTCGAGAGATCATCTAGGAGCGAAGACTTGGTTCGTGCTTCCTCCATTCGGATTTTAAACATTAATAAACATGCTCATGGATATTTTACTTTAGAGCCTGCGTGCTCATGTTTGCCCTGTGTGGCCCTTTTGTTTTAAACAATGTTTTCCGCTGCGTATTGAATTGTTTGTTATGTATGTTTATGGATGACTTATGTGTGAATGATATTCATGACGCCTTGTATAATATGAATGTGTTGGACTGCGGTTGACTATTCGTATTGTACGGCGGGTTGTTGACGTGTCCGGGGAGGTCCGGGGCGTGACAATTAAGTTGGTATCAGAGCCTTAGTCCATAAACTTCATAATGAAGTCTCAAAATTCTCTTTTTGAAAAGATTTTGAAAACCATGAGCAAAGAAGTTTTGTACTTGGAGAGCTTTTGGTACTTGGGTTGCAAGGTCTCTAATTGTTAAGATGGTACCCTTAGCAATTGGTATGGCGGTGACTCGAGCCAAAATGTGTCTTAAGTACCTATCCGTCAATTGACATTTGATACGAGTCTAACGACTCTTTCCAAATTTCTTTCAGAAATGGACCGTGGTGGCAGGATTACTAGGAGAAACCCGACCGGCCGCGTACCAGTGGAGACTGGACAGGGCAGTCGAAGGACCTCTAGGGCATCTAGAGGAGCTGGCCGTGGGGGCCGATCACAGACCGTAAGTGACGGTCATGTGGACACAGAAAGTGAAACCTACTGGTCCTATGAGGACTCGACTTACCAACCGGAAACCGAGCCGGTTGAGACCCCTTACGAAGGGGATGACGATGATGTAAGTGATGAAGAGGGGGAGAATGACTCCCTAGCAAGAATCGAGGCGCTACTCCAACAGTATCACCGCGAGCGTGAAGAGAGGAGGGAACGCCGAAGACGCCGGGCTGGGCAACCTTCAGGCATGGCTTCGAGAGGAGGAAGTCATGGTGCATCTAGAGTCCATGTGGAACCACATGGAGGCCAAAATGATGGAGGTCCAACCATAAGGATCTCCAAATTCATCAAAGAAGCAAGAGATTTGGGGTGCAAACCCTTTGATGGAGCAGGGGACATTTCAGTTGCAGCACAATGGATCAAGAGGCTAAATGAAGCAGCCCTTGACATGCAAATCGCGCCAAGTCTCAAACTGAGAATTGCGGTAAGATTGCTCGAGGGGATGGCATCCAAGTGGTGGGATGGAACCAAGAGCAAGTACGGTGAGACCGTCGTTTGGGAGGACTTCCAACGGGAGTTCTTTGCCCAATATTATTCCGATTTTGAGGTGAACAAGAAGGTGAGGGAATACACCCTCCTAACCCAAGGAGGTAACATGACAGTGAAGGAACTTGAGTACAAGTTCCGGGATCTCGCCGACTACATACCGGAGTATGCTTGTGACGAGAACCGAATGGTAAATCACTTTTGGGATGCTCTTGACTTGGAGATACGTGATAGGGCAACACAATTGCCTAATATGACCTTCGCCCAAGTGGTTGACCAAGCGTTGAAGGGGGAGAAGCAGTGGGAGGAGAGGAAGAAGAGAGACGCCGAGGAGGCGAAAAAGAGAAAATGGGAGAGTCATGGCTCCCAAGGTTCCAACAAAAAAGGGAACCATGGAGGAGGATCTTTCCGTGCACCGCCGCCACCGTCTAGGGGGAATCAAGGCCCGAGTGGGCAAGGCTCGAGGTCACAAACCTCGGTGGTAACTCGTTGCAACAATTGCAAGAGGAACCACTCCGGTAAATGTCGCGACCCCCCTAGATGTTTTCAATGTGGGGATGCCGGGCATTTGAAGGTGCATTGCCCACAATTGGGTGGGACAAGGACATCGGGACCGAGCAGTGGCCCGACGGGTACACGGAATCAAACCGGAGCGTCTCAAGCGAGCCGGGGACATGGGGGAGCGAGTACGAGCAACGCACCATCCGTGAATCAAGGAAGAACTCAAGCTAGAGTTTATGCGATGACGGAGGCGGATGCTCGAGCTAACCCGGACTCGGTTGCAGGTATTGCCCCTTGCACAATTGTATTTTGCCCATATTTAATCCATAAATTGATGACATAAGTCATAGGGATTGAGTGCGAGCCATTACGGGGTCAAACGGCGAATTTCGGGCCCAAAAAAAAAAAAAAAAAAAAAAAAAGGGGACGCACGATCGTGCGTCCAACCCCACGCACGATCGTGCATAGGGGGCAGGGGCTCCGGGTGATTTTCGCGCAGGACGCACGACCGTGCGTGTCGGTACGCACGCCGTGCGTGGACGCACGATCGTGCGTGTCCGGGTACGCACGACCGTGCGTAACCGGCAGTAGCCGGAGGCGAGCCTTTTCATGCACGCACGACCGTGCGTGTCCCACGCACGACCGTGCGTGGAC